GCTGAGAGGAAGATAGAGTGAAGGTGAGTTGAGAAGAGGCATTGAGAGGCCGGTGTAGATGGAGTTTCAAAATTTGAAACTCTTTCTATCTCTTAGCTTTGATTCAATTTATATTTCTAGCCCTTGGATTGAATCATTCTAATGGTCCATATTTTGACACATAAGACAAAAGTTCCATCAGATTCAAAAACCCCCTTCCTTGTTATATAGATTATAAATTGCAAATTTATTATGTGTGCAACAGTAAAAAAAAATTATATTATTTTATAGTCTATGTTAAAAAAAATTATATTATTTTAGGGATACACATAGCAGCAACTTTCATTATATTATATTTATGTATAAGTATGCTTTAGATGAAGTTTAATCTCAGTTTTTTTCTTTTTGTGTGTGTGTATGTGTAAATTCCATTGAAACATTTTATCAAACACTTTATAAGCAAGGAAGATAGAATGGTTATCGAACATTTTAGTAGTAATGGCACAACAACCATTCAATGGAGTGACTCAAAGTAAATCAAAGTAACACAAATTCCTACCAAATCAAAGTAAATGGGTTTGCTTTATACATAGATATAGTCCCATAGATATATGTGTGTGTATATATACATATACTATAGTCCTATAAAAGTATACCCAAAATCGTATATGCATCTAGAAAATTAAATAAAAACAATACTCACAGTTTGATTTTGGGAATCGTTCTTTCTCTATTACACTAATGATCAATTGATGATCTCTGTAATCAATATATCTGGCTTATAATTTTTTTGGTGCAGGTTCTCAGCTGGTCTAATTTAGGATAGTTAGTCGTTGTGGGTTGAGTGATTCAGGCAAACATTGTTTGAATAGTTTGTTATTTCTTTGTATTTAACTGCTATTTGTTACTGAGTTTGAGTGTTATCTGAGGCTTGAGTGATGGTAATCAGTATCATGTGAGCTTTGTGTAGTTAGCTATTGCTGAATTGTCCTATTGATTTGTTAATTGCTTGGCTTTTTTTAGGATCATTTAACTGAATGATGCCTTAGAGCAAGCTATCAGATTTGGTGGATATTGTCCCAATTGTTGTCTGCTAAGATTCTAGATGCTGCTGCTATTTTTTTTACTATTTTGAAGGAAGGGCTAGCTGCTTGTTATGTTGCTGGTTGCTGCTGGCAGTTGTGGATGGGTCGTGATGGTGTTGATACAGTTGGAACATTTACCTTGTTATTATATTTGTAATAGTTATTGTGATACTATATGTATTTTTTGGGCCTAATTTTGGCCTTTTATGTGGGATGTACATGGTTTATTTTGTAAACAGGTCTTGTTTATATTTGGGTGTGTTTTGGGGTTTGTTTTCTTCAGGTTTTTCCAGGGTTGGTAATAGTGTGCTTAATGTTGGGTTTGTTCTTGCTCCTTATCTGTTTCTGCGCTTATGTGGCCTTTGAACTGGTGTGTTGTTTTATTTGGGTTTTTTGGTGGCTCTGCCATTTTATAGTTGGTTAGTTCCTTGGGCATGCCTCTTGTATCTCGTTTTTTTTTTTTGTCATTTATTTTATGACTTATTCATCCCCCTCCCAAAAAAGAACAAAAACTACTAAAATGTAACTAAAAAGTTGCAAATAAACACCAACAATGACTTGCTCATTATGATCTTGTTCAGGAAACTAAACACCAACAATTTAATTATTTTAAACTATGTTTGGATCATGAACTTGAATATGGATTTGAAAAAGAAAATTAAAATGAAAAAGAAGAAAAAATTTAAATCTCTACCTAAAACCATGATTCAATACCCTTAATAGATTCATACAAAAGAAGTATTGTACTGAACTTTATAACTAATCCACATAGATTACATTTTCTTTAATAAAACCAAGAAAATCTAGAGTAGGGATGAGGTTGCTAATTAAAATTTTATTCAAGTCTAAACATATGAAAGGAAGGAAAAAAAAAAGGAAAAAAAAAAAGGAAGCTCATCATACTTGCAAGGTTTTATCTTGAGTTGAATTTTTTTATTTAGAAATTGTTGATCAATCATGCACTTAGATACTTTGATTAAGGCAAGAAAGTTATGTCCTCAACTTTGATTATGTTCACAAATCCATATTCAAACTTGCAACTCAGTTATTGTTCAATCACTCTTCTTGGACAATAATGAATAAACAAAAATCAAAATTAAGTGTAACAAAGATATACATAACAAATAAAAACGCAAAAATGATGATTCTTAAATTTTCTAAATTCATTTAGTTTGGTTTGTAATGGGCAATAAATTATCTACTCAATGCTCTATCTAATCATCCCTTCAAACAAAACTTAGCTTCCAATTACATTTTATAGTCAATTACATTTTAATACGGATGTGCGTGGTGCGGGTCGGTGCGGTTTAGGAGAAAAATAGAAACCGTATGGCGCGTGGCGGATTGATAAAAATGTCATTAGAATTTGCCATTTTTCTTATCAAAAACCGGCGGTTCGATTGGCAAATAATAGCGAATTTGCCTTGGCGGTTCGGGCGGTTTGGCGGTTTATAAACAATATAATTCAAATTATAAAACTTGAATCAAAGAATAAAAATATCTAATTTATAAATTAACTGAAATAGTCAACATTAAAATATTCATCTAATGTAACATTACATATTAACAAACTAGTAAACTAAAAATCTAACACTTCAAATAAATTATACAATAGCAATTTAAGAATACAATAAATACTAGAAAAAGTTCAAAAAAAAAGTTCTACAACATCCAACATAGTTCAACCAACATAGTTCAACGTAATTCATCCAAGATAGTTCTACAACATAATTCATACAACATTCAACATAATTCATACAACATCCAACATAATTCATCCAACATAGTTCAACAAAAAAAGTTCTACAACATCCAACATAGTTCAACCAACATAGTTCAACATAATTCAACCCACAAACAATCCAAGAATTCAAAAAACTTCATCTACTCATCAAATTCCACAATTACTTCAATCCTTCATAATTGCTTTAATTCAACTAAACTCCAAAAACTTCATCAATCTGTGGACACAAGCAAACAAAACACAAATAAATAACAAAAAATTATCATCAAAATCATTATAAATAAAAAAAAACATTATAACAAAATAATATTAAAGAGTAAGAATTAAGTCTAACCTCAAGAACTTTAAAACCAAACTAACTTAGAGACAAATTAGTCCTCAATAATAGTTGCTTCTTGTGTAGTAGATGATGAAAAAAATTCTGAAAAATAAAAAATATTTTTAATGTTATTCAAAATTACATAAAAGCTAAAATCAATATTGAATAATCTTTTTAAAATAAACACATATCAAAAAAATTACCTGACTCAATTTCTTCATATTGTTCAACATCATCCATACATTCTCTAAGATTGATTGGAATTGATGAAGACCGTAACCAATTTTGTGCACAAATTAGAGCCTCCACCATCTTTGGCGTCAAAGAACTCCTAAATGGATCAAGCACACGTCCACTGGTACTAAAAGCTGACTCAGAGGCCACTGTAGAAACTGGGACAACCAACACATCTCTTGCTATTAGAGAGAGAACCTTATACTTGTGGCCATTAACCTTCCACCAATTCAAAATATCAAAGTTTGGAACTCTTGGGTCTACACAATCATCAACCAAATATTTTTCCAACTCTGATTTGTTTTCCACACTTTTTTCCGACTCCAAATGGTTAATATATTGAGAGGCAAAGAGTGTCATGGGATCTTCCTCTTCCACTTCATCAACTTCCATAACTTGAGGAGCTTGACTTGCATATGAAGGTGCAACATTACCAACATTATTCTTCTCAACATAATGATCAAACAAGCGCTTCAATGTTGTTTTCACCCTTGCCACTAAAATTTCTACCTTGTCATTTTCATACACTTTATTGAATGAAAACTTAAGATATGTCAACTTGTATCGAGGGTCTAACACAACGGCAACATATAAGAAATTGATATTATCGAGATTCTCCCAATATTTGTCGTATTTCAATTTCATCTTATCAGCCATATTACTCAACACTGCATCTCCACTTTTACTCAATTGAACTAATTTGGATTGCACCGACACAAGTTGATGAAAAAAAACATTAGATGTCACATGCAAAGACCCTGAAAGTTGCAAAGTCACATGATAAAAAAGTCTTAAAAATTTCACAAAGACTCTAGCTACCTCCCAATCTTCTTTTTTAGGATATGAAATGAATCTTTTTCCTTTCCCTTTGCCTCTTCCACCATCATTCTCATTTGCATTCTCATTTTCATCATCATTCTCCATGAAAAATAATTTGAATCGTGGGTCATCCTCTTCTAAACACTCAAAAGCTTTTTGAAATTTCTCGGCTACCTCCAACATCAAATAGGTGAAATTCCACCTTGTTGGAACATCAAGGCATAGCAAACTTTTACAAGTAATCTTTTTATGCTCCACACAATTTTTAAAAGTTTGTAGCCTAGCTGGAGATGACTTCACATATTTCACAGCTTTTCGAATATTGGCAATTGAGTGATTTTGTTCTTTTAAACCATCACAAACAATTAAATTCACTATGTGTGCACAACATCTCATATGCAAAAACTCATTTGCCAAGATAGTGGAAGGCCAATCTTTCGTTCTTCTCTTCAAAAATGCAATAGCACCATCATTAGAGCTTGCATTATCAACTGTAATAGTGAAAATCTTATCAATCCCCCAGTCTTGCAAGCATTTGTCTAATTGTTTGCCAATTGTCTCACCCTTATGATTAGGAACTATACAAAAACTAAGAATTCTTTTGTGCAAATTCCAATCATTATCAATCCAATGGCCGGTGACATACATATAATTTAGATTTTGAATTGATGTCCAAGTGTCAGTGGTTAGGCATACTCGTTGTTTCCTTATAACTTTCTTCAATTTTTGTTTTTCATCAAGAAATAAGTTCAAACAACCACGAGCAACAGTAGTGCGAGAAGGGACATGAAACTTAGGCTCCATAACTAAACAAAATTTTTTAAACCCTTCCTTCTCCACATGCCTAAAAGGTAATTCATCAATTATAATCATATTTGTTAGTGCTTCCCTACAAAGTTTTTCATCATACCCTACTACTTTGAGAGATCCAATCCTTCGACCATTATGTTCCTTTTCCTCTCCTTCTTTTTTAACAAAAGAGAGTATTTTTTGTTTTTTGTCCACTTGCCTAATAGGAGACTTCATACATTGATGCTTAAGGTGGTTCCACATATTATTAGTTCCATCTTGTTTTCCACGAGCACCATAATCCTTACCACAATAATTACAAACAGCCCTAGGTTTATCAGGTTCACAATCATCAAGTAAAGTGAAGTGTTCCCAAACCTCAGATTTCTTTTTATCTAAATTAATACTAGGGCATGGACGAGTTTTACCAGAATTTTTGGCAGGCATTGTGGTAATGGTAGAACTAGCAACAGTGGTTGATTCTGCAGTTGGTGTAGGAGGGTTTCCACCAGCATTTGTATTTTCCTCATCCATTCACTATTACAAAGAATAAAAAAATTATATGAATGATAAGTAAATAAATAAAAATTATCAAGGATGAATGACCGTGAATTAATCTGCCATACAGAAATACACAGAAAAGATAAAGTACTAGACACAGAAAATAAATAAAAATTATGAAAGAATGAACACATAGAAATACATTCACAATTGAATTAATATGCCATGATTCTTTAGTAATAACAAGTAAGGCTGTTCAGTAGGGAAAAAAAAAGGTAAAAAAGGGGTTGGATGTTTCCTGACAAACATGAAACATATATTTTGAATTTTGATTTATACAGAAAAAAGAAAAGAGAAATTAAATGAAAAGAAAAGAAAATAATCAAAATAAATAAGCAGATTTGATTTGAATGTATGTTTCTTGTTAACAATTCAAATTTAAAAATAAATAAATAAAATAAAATAAAAATCTGTGTAGTGTATAAAAAAAACAAAATAATCAACACTATAGTATAGATATATATACATATATATAGAACAGGAACACTATAGATAAAATAAACAAAATAACACACTATATAAACAAAATAACACACTATATTTAGGGCTGTGCATAACACACAATATTATTGAATGAATCAACAACACTATAGATATATATATAGAGAGAGAGAGAGAGAGAGTAGAGCAGTACCAGCAGCAGTATATATGTATATACAAAGAACAAAGAGAGAGTGAAAGAAAAAAGATAGAGAGAACATCGAGAGAGAGAGAGAGTAGCGAGTGTACCGACGACGAGGAGGAGAAACCAGCGGGAGACGATCGGCAATGGAAGGAGAAACAGCGGCGAGACGATCGGCAAGGCAAGGGAAGGAGATGTGCAGTGGCGCTGGGTGTATGTGATGAACGAGATAAAATCGAAATGTGTAGCTGTGTGTAGGTATTAGGTTTAATGAAGGAATGATTGTGTGTGAGAGGGTGTATAACAGCTGGAATTTTTTTTTTAAAACCTAGGCGGGTCGGGTCGGGTCGGGTTGACAGGCGGTTTGGAAAATTTAACCCACCACTAGCGCCGACCTGCCACTGCAGGTCCTCCAACCCGCCCAACCCGCCCGCCAGAACTGAAATTTTGCGCGGTTCGGTGCGGTTCGGAGCGATTCGGTGCGGTTTTAGCGGTATTATGCATAGCCCTACATTTTAATCCCAACAATATAGTCAATTACATTTTATAGGCAAGAAAAGATTTTGTCTCAATAAATATATTTTGGACAACCTGTTGTCAATATTATTGAGTAACAAACCTGCTGGAAATTAAAGATTATTGAAACAAAAGATATCCACAAATTAGAGTAAAGATTATTAAAACAAAAGATGCTGAAATAGGTGAGGTTTGAAAAGAGAGCAAGAGAGAAGTGGCGTTACCTCGATGGTGGTCCGTTGAAGAGAGAAACGGGAAGAGATGATGTTGCAGAGCCACTGAAATAGATTTCAAATGGGATGAGTGTAGACACCCCATTTTTGATAGCCCGCAAGGCTCGAGCGCTTTGCCCAATACATTCGATGATGAAAGTGGTGTTGTGCGTGATTCGAGGTCTTAACATAAGGGCCATGTTTAAGCTCTGAAACAATCCCAAACCTTCTATATTCCCACTGATTATACCCCATAAATCCATTTTTTTACATATTGTACTACCCTGTGCTGTGTCTAAAGCAGGAAAATAGAGAAATACATTGAGGCCTGGCCGTGCCTCATTGAGAGCCGGCCGTGGCTATTGATGGCCGGCCGTGCCTTAGCAGCGAGAAACACTGTTTTGGGCGGGAGCCCACCAGCTGTCTATTTTTGAAGATATTTATGACCCCTCTTGCTCAAATTCTATAAAAACGAAGTCGTATCTCTGTTTTGAGGGTTGAAAATTTTCTAAAAAGCTTCTACACCTTTTTGAGAGCTCCTTCTTCTTTTGCAAGTAACCCTTTGAGCAAGCTTACCACCTTGAACCTATATCCATACACCATACACACCTTAGCCTAGGAACCTTGGTTGAGCCTTGAGCACCATAATTCAAGCTTAAGAGTGTGTTTGGATTTAGTTTGATTCACAAACAAAGAGCTACCTTTGTCAAGAGATATAAGCTTGCTATTTACTCTCTTGCTTTCATTTCTATCATTTACTATCTAGTTCTTGTAATTTTGTGTTGTTTTGATTCTCTTCCAAGTGTTTAAGTTTGGGTTTGGAGAGCTACCAAAAGGGAAGAGAGAGTTTACACTCTTTCTTACACCTTTACCTATAGCTCAAACCCTTGCTTTTACACTCTTTTTCTTTTCTTTCTCAATTATTTTTTTAGAGTTTAAAAAGGCTAAAAATCATGCTTTGAAGTTTTAAAAGTGGAAGAGTTAGCCATCCCTCCTTGTTCTTGCTTACTAGCCTTGTTTTCTCTCTTTGTTGATTAGCTTTTTAGGCTCTTTTCATGTACTTTGAGCCATTGTTTTTCACCTATTAAGGGCTATTTTAGGGCTGTCCTAGGTTGTTTAAATAGTTCATGCTTTGATTAGCTTGATTGTTGTCTCATAAGTTTGCATACATAGCTTGTTGAATATTGTTCTTAGCTTTTCTTTAACTAACTTCTATGTTTAAGAACTTCATTTTAATAAATCAACTTGCTATTCATTTCTTTCATTTAAGAGTTGCTTCAATCGGTTGACGGTTATTCAAAACGTGAGCTAGAGATCTATGCTTAATGGCTTAATCTCTACGGAGGTTCATTGTCAACGGTATAGTCTCTTGTTCATGTTGAGAATCACCTCTTGTTTGACATATTTCTCACTTAGTGGACGTAACAATCACCTTGGGCTTAATGGATTAAAGGATAGCAAAGACTAATGAATTTGGCTTAAAATGAACCAACTCACATAAAGAAAATGAGTTATATTGATTGTGGTTCGGTCGTACGTTATGCCGAGTCCATTGTGTCAAGGGTTGTCTTACATCAATTCATGATGTTTTGGTGAACCTTGAAGCGTCTCTACCTCCCTCTTTGAGTTCACTGTATGATAAGAGAGACTGGTGGTTGTTGTTCATTGCATTTATTGATATTTGTCCAAATTGTACCCGAAATCATCAAGCAATCAACTTGCTCATTAATGGTTTTGGAAACGATTCTAACCGTCTCTCGAGGCTTTCCCATGACAGAAAAGTGTGAGAGGGACAAACAGAGTCTAGAATAACTCTGTCTGCACTGTTTTCACTTCAGAGCACAAAACAAGATTTTACATGAAATTAAGGCATGGCTGGCCCTTTTGGGGCCCGGTCGGGCTTTATTGAGGCACGGCCGGCCATCAATGTTTGATCAGTAGTATGTTTTGCAAAAAACAAAGGGCAGTGGCTGAAAGTGAAACAGAACATACCTAGGCAAACAGAGCTGTTCTTGGACATTGTGCATGTAACTCTTGTGCATCCTTGCTTACATCATTATTGTCAATTAATGCTCTGAGTATCGTTGTAATTAATTAATTTATTATTGTTATAATTAGCCTTGTAATTATTACTAGTGTTTATTTGTAACTAATATAGCTAATTAACTAGTTTAGCTAATTTATTTCTCGTTTTTATCCTTGTTGTAATAGAGTAGTTAGCTAGTTAATTCTTTACTTATTCATTCATTCGGTTTTGTAATAATTAGTTTAATTCAGACTTTCGGACTTTGATTCGCACTCTCTTGCACGAGGGCAATCATGTAATAAGTTGTATGTCTTTCAACCCCACGTCTTTCTCTATTTTACTTGCTTGGTTATGATGGTTAGAATAGAACATCATTTTTCAAATTAGCATTCTTATATGTTGCACCCATTGTCTTGCATGCATCCAAGGTTCGGCTCATCATACTAACCCAATATCAAATGTTCAAATTCATTACTTGAATATGTGTTTTATCGCATGTCTTGAATGAAATCATATGCCATGCTCATAGTCGAGCCTATAAAATACATAATGTGTGCGTTGTATTAGTCATATTGCATTAATTAGGCGCATGCGTATTTTTCTAATTATGTTGCTTTGTTTTTGCTCGGAGTACTATGTGAGTAATTTTGTGTTTTAGCATCTTGCATCGAATGTTTGTATTACCATGTCAAAGCATACTTTCATGAGGCTAATTGCTTAAATGATATAACTGTCTGAATGCCTGTGGATGAAGGCTAGTGGCTTGAATTAGGATAGTTTGATTAATGTCCATTTTAGGCCTACTTTTCCAAGTGGCAAATTCACAAAACAATTTCAAATAAAACACGAAATCAGATGTTTCAATTCTTGCAAATTAGTATATATTTGTGTGTGTGTCACATAGTAAAAATAGCTAATAATCGAAACAAGAGCATATAACGTAAATAAAAATTACATCATGATTAGTAGAGGCTGATCTTTGATCGGGCGAGTGGGGTGCTTAATTCATGACCTTCCACTCTCGTACTTAAGTTCCCGAGCCGAGACACTTTGGTGATGACGGATAAGTGGCCTTTGGCATGAGTCTCGAGTTTCCTAAATTTTTCAAAAATATTTAGGTGGCGACTCTGAAATCTGGCAAAGCAATCCATTTTTGGCATTTGATTCAAACATCGATTTTCTAAAAAAATTGCCAGATTTGGACTCTTTTGTGTTTTCACTGTTTCACATTGCACTTTGTGAAATCAGATTCAGAACCACGGGAGTCCGAACTATGAGTCTATTCATATCGGAAAGGAACATGAAAAGTTGAGCCACAATGAGCTGCAACTTTGAGCAGTGCAGTTCACAGATCTAATCATTCATTATTAAACTAAATCATCTGTGTAGTTCACAAACGTCTTGTCGAAAATGACATAGATAAATGTCCCTTCAAAATTAAAAAAATGGAGCTTTAAATAATCAAACTCCTCAAAAAATGCTAATAAGATATGGGTGTTTCACAAAAGAAACCAAAACTCAACATTTGAAACCAAAACTCCACTACCATAAAAAAGTTGAATATATTGGCATAATCACATTGTTGAAATAAAAGCTC